CCCCCTTTTTCTTTTTTCTCTTTTTTTCTGCTTTGGTTTTTGGTGTTGGTTCTATCTGTTTACTTTCACCCCCTTGCCTCCCCATTCAGTGGTGCTCCAAGACTGACTTGTTTAGGAACCGGATGAGTTGGAAGAAGAACAACCAGAATTCGACTGGACCCGCTGCCTGAATGACCAGATGTTTGTCTTCCAGGAGCACGAGCTGGATCGCATCCTGGACATCATCATTACCAATATGCGACCGCAGCGGTCCCCAACACAAAAGCCGGTCCCCGCCAATATGATCTTCCTCAGCGCGAGATATGCACACTATCATGCCAGCCCGGATCTGCTGGAGAAGCTTCTTGTTTCCGCTATGGACAAGATCAACGACGTCGTTGAGGATTATCAGTGGGATATGACTATACTGGCCTTCTGGATGTCCAATGCGACGTTATTACTTCATTACCTCAAGAAGGATGTGGGCCTAGTGGAGGCAACGGCCGAGTTCCAAGCACAGCTCGCCGAACTGATTAACGAGATATTCATCCTTATCGTGCGAGATGCCGAAAGGCGACTCGACAAGGTGCTGGACGCAGCCATGCTAGACCACGAAACCATCCCGGGCTTCGAGAACATCACGTTCCAGAACGAGTGGAGGCTATTCAAACGCAAAGCGCACGTCAAAGAAGAACCCCTGGAGAAGAGGTTCCGTCCGCCATCACCGAAACAGAAGGCAAAACCGGCCCCCCGGAACGTGACGTCTCTCCTATCATCCACTCTTTTTGTCCTGGACCTCTACGACATCCACTCGGTCATAATTTCCCAGATCATAGCTCAATTGCTGTACTGGATCGGAGCGGAGCTCTTCAACCGCATCATGTCAAACCGAAAGTACTTGGCACGCACAAAGGCCATGCAGATCCGTATGAACGTCTCCACGCTAGAGGACTGGGCCCGGGCCAACAACCGGCAACCGGACCACTATGAAGGAGGGGAGATGAAGTCGACGGGAGAGGCGACAGTGGAAGCGGCACGACGGCATCTTGCCCCGGTCATCCAGCTTCTACAGTGGCTGCAATGCTTCTCCTCCCTGGATGCCGATGATCTCGAGGCGCTCGTGGGGACGCTGCAACAGTTGAAGCGGTTGAGCCCCCAACAGCTCATCCACGCGGCCCGGCATTACCGGCCCGAAGTAGGCGAAAGGGGTCTTCCTAAGAGCGCCCTGAAGTACCTGAACGCCATCCAGCAAGAGCAGGTCCGGAGGAGGGAAGAAGAGCGGGAGCGCCAGAACAGAGCGGTATCGCCGGCGCCTAACACCGGCCCAGGCCAACGGGGTCAACTCGGCAGCGCCCCCGCGACGCCGGTCAAAGGAGGTGGAGGCACGGCGAATGGGCAGGAACTTGAGACGCCGGACACGCAGCGGAGTATGCTGAGCCCGAATGCGGATGGATCTTTTGTAGATGACGATGACGATGCGCCGGAGAACTTGTTGCTTGACCCGGCGCTGATGCTGCCGTTTACATTGCCGTCGGTCACCGATATGCTGGTCTCGTACGGCGCGGGATTCGGGGGGCTGAACAGGGAGAGAGAGCGCAAGTACATTCCGACGGTGCCTGCGGAGTTCCTTGCCAAGCTAGAGGCCAGTGGGGCGCGGAAGGGCCCGATGTTCAGCGAGAAGGATTGGGAGGACGAGGAAGTATAAAATTTCCAGCTTGGCAGAGTGACAGGATGCGATTAAAATAATGCGGTCTGGACATCAGGGGGGGTGAGGTGAAGGTTGGAGGTGCTGACTGGAGTGGCGGATGGCCGGCACCGAAGATCTCTCGTCCCCTGCCGTTAAACACCTCGACCGATCAATGCCGTTGGTTCCAGGTATAACGAAGACGCATCACAGACCGTTGGGACTCAAGTGGTGACGACACCACGGCTTTCTGGGTTAATAACATATCGAAGGGGATGGCAGGCTGGCATAAGTAGAGACGGTTAGTACTGCTGCCATGATGGGGTCGCGATTGCTGGACGTTTGTTGGGAAAAGGAGAGAATGAAGAGGGGCCTGCCTCTCTTCGATTGCAGGAAAACGAAGACACACGCGGCATAGGCTTTTAAACGAAGGAGAAGAAGAAGCGTAAATACAGGCCCAAGCGATTTCCGAAGTCAGCCTGAGTAACAGGAATAAGAAGCAATTAGTCCCACCCTACCTGTTGTTGGGCAAGGGAACGTTGAACATTCTCTTGAAGGGTGTATCTCCAACAAATGCTGATCTTCTTATCCTCGTTCACGACTACCCCTAAGTTGGCATGACGTGTGCGTATAAGGATTACGGGAAACGGCATGTGCGACTTGCGGCGCAGGGCGAGGCGAGCAAGAGAGGTAATGAAGTCCTCTCCACGGCTGGCTACTGAGACGGCTCCAAAGTAACCCAATTCATGCCATCCGTCTGCAGGATGTGATGGGTGGGCCTTGGCATGGATAGTTCAGGAAGATGACCTGACAGAGAGAGTGTGAGTCTGAGTGAGATGAAGGTCACACATGGGGGGGTGGGGGACCTGCTGACGTGCGAATACCAGCCAACTAATTAGCTGTCTTATCAAATCCCAGTCGCGACCGGGGAATTCGGGCACAGGATGAGGCGGGGGGCGAGAAAGGGTTCAATAACCCGGATGATTCTACAGAGTGCAGGAGCGGGTGGAGGGTGTGATCTGACCACAGGGGCTCACTGCTCAGCTCAATCATCCAAAGACGCTCCCAATCATTGTATATTTTTAATCGATATCTGTTTTCTTTTCCCCGCGGGTTGTTCGAGACAGACAAGGGCTGGTGAGTGAGACAACAGAAAGAAAACAGCGATTACCTACATCAAGAAAGGGTTCTCTTCCTGTGAGGTCTCGTCAGCCCCACCAAGGCGGCGATTGCTCGCCCGTACCTTACATGAGCTTCTTCTACCCCTGGACGGGCCGGCCCCGAAATCCTGGCACTGTATGTAGTATGTACACGTTGTAATACAACGTTCCTACCTACTCTGCGGCGATCCAAGTCCTGTGTCGTTGGGATTAAGAATTAGGCACATTTTGTAAGGCTACCTAGTAGGATCGAATGATGCGGCAGGGCTTGTGAAGATGAAGGCACCAATGAGTGATCTTGTCGGAAACCCTGCTGCTGCTGATTCGGGGCTTCCCGAGTAGGTAAGTCATTACAGGTGTACAACGTATTCGTACGGGGGGTGGCGGTTTCTTTTCCTCCAACGTTGGCCTTGCTCGTGCTTCCTCGTTTATTAGTTTTGAATATACACTTTCTTGAATAGAGAAGAAAAAAGAAAGACTATACTTTTAGTCTAAAGCTCCTAGTGTGTGTCCTCAATACAACAGCGAAGTGTGTTTTAACTTCCAGGTTCGTTCAGAAACGTCGTTCCGGGTGTACTTCTTCGTACAACGTACCGCGCAGTCGACACGAGACGAAAAAAGTCCGACTTGTATCTGTATTCGGATTCGGACGGATGACAGGTCGCTAAACCGCGTTGGCGGTGAAACACAGTGGAGCCCGGTACTCCTACGGGACCAAAGAGGACTGGTCGGATCAGAGGGGTCCCACCTCAGATCTTGCCTGGTCCCACCCCAAGTTGCTTCTATGGACGAACGCGGTCCGAAATTGCCAGCACTGCAGAGAACCAACGCATCGTTCCACTTAAAGTGTGTGAGCTGGCGATGCTTGGCTTTCTTCTTTTTTCTTCCTTCTGCCGCGGCCAGTGACCCGTGACTAAGTGTGACCTGGCAAAACCACATCCTCATTCGCTGGTGATGGTTTGGTTGGTCCGGGAGAGTCGAGGCATATGGTGCGGGATGAGGGGGGGAAAAGTTTGAGAGGTTTTAAGTGCGATGGAAGAGAGGGCGAACGAGGTTGGGGTAGAAGATGTCTTGCGGTCTATGTCTTGGGCATAGATGCAGCCCAATGACTACCGGTACTGGCGGTGGATGGACTTCTTCGCTCTGCTAACACACCGCTTGAAGTATTGCTATTATATCAGTCGCGTTTGCTTTCGGACGCTGCTCTTGTCTACGGGAAAGAAGGATGATGGACGACGGACTAAAACTTACTGACACCATTAACCATTACTTCTTCGTACTATTACGACTCGTCCGCATCTTGAATCACCTTCCCGACTCGCGCTCGACATTAAACCACGAATGAAGTTTTGTCTCAGGGCGTCTTTCAACTTCCGTGTCAACTCAGGGACTGATCTTTCCGTCTCTGTGGACTTGCTTTTCCTCCTTGCTGTTTTCTTTTTCGTCTAGGTTTTCTGCCAACCTGGGCCCCTACTCCCAGGAGAAATAGCAAGGTAAGACACTAGTCCTATCCGTACGTTGAAAACATCCCCCTCCGGTCTCAGGACACAGCAATTCTCACCCAACCTTCTCTGGCCTCCCCGTATCGAGACATTAAAACTCGTCTGTTGATGGATGGGTCGAATGGACACCACGGCTGATGTTGCTTTTCGTTCGCCTGCCTCTAGTCGATTTCTAGTCTATCTGTGAGGAATAGCCCCCGGCTCGTTCAACCGGACCCAAGTCCGGGAAAAGCAAGTTTTTGCAGGTGTTATCGTTCGTAGACGAGCCCTGAATAGTATCTTAGCTGCCTCCAGGGTATGTCCAAATGCGGTCTCGCTTCCCATTTCCCAGCCGTCGGCGTTGGACGCTGGATATCGGCGGTGCGTGAGGAAATCAACACGAGGACGACGAGTATGGATGGGAGTGAGTGGGATGATGCTTGATATATTAGATCAAGCTGAACATCCCTTTCGCGTCTCCTGTCTCTCGTGTGTCTCCTCTGTCTCCCTGCCATCCAGCCATCCAGCCATCCAGTCGCCCATCGTCCACCGGCCACCTCCAGTGTGTCGTCCATTCGTTCAGCCATTATTTGATTTGCCCATTCACTCGCGTATCAAGAACACCACCTTCACTCATCCCTTTGTTCTCAGCTCCTCCCTCTCCCTCGTTCACTATTATCCACACTTCCATCCTTTATTTCACCTGTTCTTCAGATTCCAACGCAGCATCCAGTCACACTTTTCTTGGGTCTTTGAATTAGCTCTTACCGTCGTCAGACGCAACATCTTTCTTTCATGCTAAGTTATCGACGACGTTAGACACAACGACCTAGCAGGCACATACTCGGCTGTCGACACCAACAATACGACAAGACCCCTCCATTTATTTGACAAGGGAACCGACGTCTAGGGCCTGGATTCATCCTTGCTCGCCGAAAGACCCAAAGTGATTTCTTTATAAGAGATCTTATCCCTCGCCAGGTAACCTCTTTTCTCCCTCCGATCTGCTGTGTTGCGTTCGGTTGGATCCACCCACCTGAATTCGCGACGACCTACAAGCACCTTAGGTACCTTAACCTTACGGAGTGCGGTTGCGTGGCCTAGAGGTACCGATACAAGAAACCCAGCCAATTCGGGTCATATTGTTCGCGTACCGCATACTGGTACAGCTGACTAACTCCACTCAGATCCTCCTTTATCGAGTGCAGATACATTTGGTAGGCTCAGGTTCTTGTCAGCCCGTGAAGCCTGCTGTGGTGCCCTGTGCTTCTGGCTACCTTACTCTTAGTGGGTTTCCCGCTAGGACCACCACCTGAACCGCCCAAAAGATGCCCCCTCAGAGATTCTCCAGCGTCCGGTCAAAGTCCAGCCTTAGGCCCATTTTCAGGCTCGACTCGAGCCCCGTCTCCTTTCGATATGAACAGACCATCCAGGCGGAGCCGCCAATCCACATCACATCCCCTTCGCGTCCGGCCCCTTCCATTTATTCTTCGTGCCAGCGACGTCCGTCCACTATTTCCTCTTCAACAACTACCACCACAATCACCGCCGTCGCGACGACGCCATCCTCGCCCACTCACACCTTCGTTGTCGTGATCCCCCGTCCTCCTCCCCCCGAAGAAGAGCATCCGGCGCTACGAAGTAGCAAGTCCGTCAGCGACGCCGAAGGTTGGAAAAGAGATTCGGGCCTCGCACCAACCATCGTCCCCACCATCTCGATCGGTTCCGCTACGATACGAGGCGACGAGTACGACGACAACGACGGCAACGACGCCGCTGCCGCCGCCGAACCCTGTTTCGATACTGCTCTGTACGACAAGTACAACAAACTCTTCGACTTTGAACCCGTTTCTGTGGTCCATGATATAGCATCTGGTTACTCGACCGGCGACCATCCCCAGCACGACGTATCAACAGCGGCAGCTGCACCGCTCTTTCTGCGACTATCACTGTCAAATGATCGACAGGCACCATCCGCCGCATCCGTATCCCTGTCTTCTGTGCCCTCATCCCCCTCGTCGCCCCCATCACAACCTTCCTCCGCATTCTCATCCCACTCGGCCAATAGCAGCCTCCTTGCTTCAACGCCCCCACAGCCCCCTACGCTAGCAGAACGGAGGAAAAAACTGGTCAAGTCCTTTAGCCTACGGACGGGGCTATCAATAACCACCAGGAGACTCCGCAAAAGAAGTCTCGGCCACGAGGACGCCAACGGCTATCAAGCCCACTTGGCCGCGCTATCAACTGGGGGAGGCGCTAGTAATCTTAGTGCCACGGCGTCAGCGGTCGCGGTAATGGCGCTCAACTCATCAGCGTCAGGGTCGTCCAGGGCCCTCGCTGAAACTCCAGCCACGCCCAACACCACCACAACGGGCGGTGCCGGCAGTCGCTCGCCTGCAGACAGCACCACCACCAACACCCCTGCTCCCGCCGCCACAACCCGTATATTCCACCCGTCCAGTGCGGCTGCCATCGCTGCCATCGCCCTCCCCGACTTTTCCCCCCTTTCCATTGCAATCCCCGACGAACGCCTCCTCGACGATGACTTCATTCAGAACATGAGCTTCTCTCAACGCGGCAGTGTCATGTTTGGTGGTCGCCGCGCAGTGCCACGCCCATCGCCAAACTCGCCATCCCCAACTCACGAGGCTGAAGCGAAATCGCAGGCTGAAGAAGTGAATGGAGAAGCAAGGACAGACGGCGAGGCGCCGACACCGGCCATCGACTTCATTGCCTGGCAATCCGGACCGAAATCGGACGAAGCACCGGCGGCGCCGACCAGACTGCCACCGACCGTACCATCCGCAGCGGCAATCATCTCGCCATCGGCACCCGCAGAGGAATCGGCACCCGCGTCGGTAGAATCAGATACAGAGACCAAAGTAACGACCGACGCGGAGACCGAAACGGCCACAGACCCGGCGGCAGAAGCTGTGGCAGAGACACCTACAGAAGCGACGGCGGAAGCAGCAAGGAAACAACCGATGGAAACAATTGCAGAAGCAGAGGCGGAGGCAGAGGCAATCACGGAAGAAACAGCGACAGAAAAAGTCACAGAGCAGGCGGCGGCAGATGAGGTGCCAGAGGTAGAGGCAAAGACAGACGCAGACGCAGACGCAGACGCAGACGCAGACGCAGACGCAGATGCAGACGCAGATGCAGACGCAGTGACGGCGGCAGTAACAGAGGATGCCACGGCAGAGACTACTACTGAACCATCGAGGGAGCCGACGCCCGGAGAATCTCCCACGGCGACACCCGCTACCCCTACTCCTACTTCCACCACTCCTGCCATCGTCAGCACCCCGTCGGCGGAGGGCACCAGCAATGCCAACACGACCGAAACGCTAGTGGATGGGACTTCCCAGACCACCCAGACGACGACCGCAATGCCTTCGATTCAACTCATGCCGGCCGATGTGGAGAGAGATTCTCAAAAGGTGAGATCTCTTTATGACTCTGGCGATGCCGTGAGGTGGGAAGACGGTGGGAGACTCTCCCCACTCGGCGAACAAGGGGAGCCCGACTCCCCATCTGCCAACAAGGACACAGAGAATGACGCGTATGACCTTCCTCTTCGAGAATCACCACCTTGCTGCTTTTTTCTTCCCTTTATCCTTTTCTTGTCTAGTTTCTTCTTTTCCCTTTTGTCGTGCCTTCAACAAGCCTACTCCGTGTGTGCTAACCTTTTTGTTTTTGCTCAACCTCCAGCGTGTCCGACCTCCATTCTCCGCCGCGCTCTCTTTCCCGATCTGCGAGTTTCTTGTCGGCCCGCCCCGAAAGTGCGCTCGTGCGCAGAGAGTATGAGCTTGCAGGCGGCATCGAAGATTGGGAGGACGTACAAGGTGGTGACGTCGATCGGTACGGCTTCATCACCCCGCGCAGGCCTCAATCCTCAAGAACCGATACTCCGCCGACCGAACTGAGATCGTCCCGGTCCGTCTTCAGGAGGAGGAATGTATTGTCGACGCGAGATGACTCGGGTCCGCACGGCCGCGGGCCGAGCAGGAAGTTGTCGGCTCGATCCCTCCACACTCAGACCTCCGAAGTGTCGACCAGGTCGCGTCGATCGGCGAGGTCTGCCATTCGCCAGGCGACCAACTTGCTCCCCCACAACCGCAACCGGCGCTGGATGGACGAAGCGGGCGACATGTTGACGCTGATGCCAGGGCTCCAGGACGTCATGGAAGACGCCAAGGCGGAGCAAATATCCGAGGCCATCAAGAAGAAGGAATGCGAGCGAGCCGAAAAGTGGCGGAAGATGGCCAAGGTGGTCAAGAAGGGCGAAGACGGAGAGGGCATGGTCTTTGAGTTCGACGTCAAGAACCCCAAGCTGATCGAAAGGACGTGGAAGGGCATCCCCGACCGGTGGCGATCCTCGGCCTGGTATTCCTTCCTGGCAGCCAGCGCCCGGGAGAAGCCGGGGTCGCCCTCGGAGGAACATATCATAGCCGACTTCAATCGCTTTCAGAACAGGAGCTCGCCCGACGACGTCCAGATCGACCTGGACGTGCCGCGCACCGTCAATCGGCACGTCATGTTCCGGAGGCGGTACCGTGGCGGCCAGCGGCTGCTCTTCCGCGTGCTACACGCCCTATCACTCTACTTCCCGGAGGTCGGCTACGTGCAAGGGATGGCGTCCCTGGCGGCGACCCTTCTCTGTTACTACGATGAGGAGCAGTGCTTTGTCATGCTGGTGCGCATGTGGCAGCTGAGAGGCCTGGAGCGACTGTACCGGCCCGGTTTCGAGGGTCTAATGACTGCACTCGGGGATTTCGAAACGTACTGGCTGCGTGACAAGCCCGTGGCGCGAAAGCTGGTAGGTCTTGATGAGTTTGGGACAGTCCATGAACCGAGAGGTCAAACCAAGGAGAACCTGCGTTACTGACTTTTTTTTTCTGTACCCCTCTTAGACCGAGCTTTGCATTGACCCCACGGCATACGGAACACGATGGTATCTGACTCTCTTCAACCTGACCATCCCGTTTCAAGCGCAGCTCAGGGTGTGGGACGTGTTCTTGCTCCTGGGTGACAGCCCTCCCGAGCGGCCACCGACGACATCGAACGGGTCGAAAGCGACGCCGAAGCAGCCGCTTGCCGGGATCGAGATTGTGCACGCCACGAGCGCGGCCTTGATCGATGCCCTCGGCGAGGTTCTGCTGGACTCGGATTTCGAGAACGCCATGAAGGCCTTGACGTCCTGGATCCCCATCAAGGACGAAGACTTTCTCATGAAGGTGACCAAGGCGGAATGGAAGGCTTATCAGAGTCGGAAGAAGGCCTAGAAGGCCTCTCGCTCGGTCTCCTCCACTTCCCTCTATTTTTGGCGACTGGCGTGAATAATGTTCTACCCTGGCATGCTCTCTCCATATCCTGTTTGTTTCCCCCCTTTCTTCATTTCTCTGTTTTCTCTTTTATTTTCTTTTCATTTCATTTCCCCCCAACCCCCGATTTCTCTTCCCTTTTTCCCCAGCCGGATCTTTACTTGTGTCATTTATGCACATACCCTTTGCTTTACACACTTTGGCGAGGAGCTTGGAGATCTGTTTCTTTTCTCTTCTTCATTTCTTTCAAGTGCGTCTGCTTCCATATAATACCCCTTTTTTAGGACACAGGCAGCCTCGTCAGGCACATCACGATTTCTTTTGTACCTAATGGAATGTGAGATGTCCATGCCACTAAGCTTCCAGAGCTCTGTGGTGGACAGGCGGTTCGGTAGGTGCATGCTTGGGCGATCCCGGCAGGGGGGGTGCCTTTAATTTTGCACAAAGAAAAAGGGATGCAAGGAGGGATAGACCAGCAGGCTAGCGACAAGACGGTGGGGTATTTCTGGGCCGATCTCATCATGACCGATGTTGCCGCTCGGCAGGGGACGTGGATACTAGAAAATATAATATTTACCGTCTCGGATAACTAGACGTATGTGCATTCTCATATAGAGCGCCTTCCTTTTCGAGGTCGACCTGAGGGTAATATGTACATCTATCTTCATTTTGCCCTGTCTTTTCTTATTGTGGGGGGGGG